CTGGCTCATTAATCTCTTATTAAAATTCTGTGCTAAGTGCTGGCAAGGAAGAAGTAAGGAGGACCCTGGGGAGGGAATGGGGAGAAAGAAACGGCTTCCCTTGTTAGCGCCTGCTGTGGGCATCCGTGGAGGGAGGCCCCGAGTCGGGTGGAGACACATAAGGCACGAAACAGCAGGCTTGTCCATCACAAGAGATGTGGAAGGGGGCGTGCCGGGCACCGTCTCCTCCTTGGCAGAGGAGGAAAGAACTCAGAGAGGAAGATGGCTTTACTGTAGTTGCACAGCAAGTGGATGACAAGGTTAGTACTTGAGCCCCTGTCTTCTGTCTCCTAGGGACTCCAATTTCAAACTGCCTTGAATTTCAGAACCTGGGCTTTTTTCTGGCCTCCTCCACTGGACTTTGAGCTCATGAAAGAGAGCTGAAGACCAAGACCGGAGCCACACCACACTCCCCTGTAGTGCTCACCAAGGCCTATTACCACCCTTGGTGGTTGCCTATCCTGACTGGTTGGGACTTGAGGCTGGCTTGAGGCCAGAAGTGCATCTTTGCACAAAGCCCTCGGGAGATGGGATAGCAGAGGTGGCAGGGGTGTCTGTGGAGTGGCCTGGAGCCGACCACTAATCCAGGACTCCCCCTGGGCTCTGGTGCTGGTTCTGATTCCAGAACACACTGGCAGGGTGACCTTGGCCAGTCCCCTCCCCTCTCCCAGCGCCCACGCCCTCATTTGCATGAAGGTTGACGCTCTGTGTGTGTCTTTCAGCTTCCGATTGTGGATGGACATCACCATATGCAGGGCAGCAAAGCCAGCCCTTCCTCTACCCCTGCCACGTAAGCCCCCCACGTCCCCACCCCAGGTGGGCAGGCAGACCCTGGTGGTGGGAGTTGGTGCCTCTAAGGTTCTGTATTTCTGCAGCCTCATGGGCACTCACTGCCCATCTCAGTTCTGGGGGCCAGCAGTTCTAGACTGGACCCCAGTGAGGGTCTAGGAGATGGCCACGTCCTCCACTCGTGTTCTAATGTGGCCTTACCCCGTATAGCCAAGCACTGAGTTATCCTCAGGATCTAATAAAGCTTCTGCCACCAAGTTTATAACACATCCCCACCTACTGGTCTTAAATGTAACCGGGCTGTGTTGTGGTGTAGGGCTCCGTGTGGCCAGCGAGAAGATGGGTGTGTGTGCTTGCAGGGGCGGCGGGTGGGGGGGGGGGCGTTTCTCCTCACTCCCAGCAGTGAGGGGATGTCCCAAGGGACAGTGCTGACTCTGTACTGCTGTGGTCCCTTCTGCCTCTCCAAAGGATCCCAGAGTTTGGGTCGTCAGTGGGGTGGGGAGAGCATGGACCCAAGCCACCAGGGAAACTCGAGGTTGCCAGGTTGCCTGTAGGGACACATGCATCCAAGGTCATGTAGTCAGCATGCCGTGGGACCCTACATTCACCTGGGGAGAGATGTTACTCATGTCACTCCAGATGTGTGTCTCCTGTATGTTTCTCTCAAGAGGGTGTGGCATGGCTCTGCCCCATTCCTTTGCTCTTTCCCAGTGTTTCTCCCTAGCTCCTCCCTGTCCCAAATTCTGCCCCATGTCCCAGAACTCCCTTTTCAATTGCCACAGGGAGGGCCTCCCCATACGGAGCTGTCGTCCCACCGCCATTCATTTCTTCGGAGCGCCTACCATGTGTCACAGACTGCAGAATGGGGCAAGAATGAAGAACGCATGCTGCCTGCTCTCAATGCAAGGATGTGGACACCAGGGGGGTGCACACATGAATATCCCCATGTACACCCTGCACGCGTGTGTGCGCACACACTGTGGCCCCGGCGGGGGCGGGGTGGTGCTGGGAAGAAGGCACAAAGAGCACTTGCTTCTGTTACAGGGTGGGGGGCCGCTGGTGGGAAGCCAAGGGGGAAGAGAGTCAGACTCCCTGGGGGGAATGAGGTTGGAATTGGGTTTTGATGGCTGGGTAAGAACTGGAGGCTGGTGTTCTGGGGTGGGGGTGGGGGTTGCTGGGTGCAAAAGCAGAGAAGCAGGAAGGTGAGGAGAGGGATACCTCGTAAGATGCATGGATGATGCCGGGTAGGCAGTGCCCGCCCCCGAGGGCAGATCGAGATGAGATTGTATAGGGCCTTTGATGCTCTGGGCCAAAGATGGATCCTTGATTCTATAGGCAGCAGAGATCCAGTGAAGGTTACCGAGTAGGAGGCTGACATTACCGGCTAGACCACAGACTTCACCAGCACCCTGCCCCCCTACACTCCCATTCACACTAAAAATGGAGCAGAAAGCCTTCCCAAAGACCAGATGCAGGAAAGTGGCCTTCTCAGATGTTCTCTGGTAGAAGCCTGGAGACCGAGGGGGGAGTCTGGGCTCCCACCCCACAGGCTGAGCTGGGCCCTGAAAGGTAGCAGGGCTCTGTTCACATATGGTACCTGCCCAGTAGTCCCAGCAGAAAGTGAGAAAGGGGAGGGAGGGGGGCCACACGGCTTGTGGAAGTTGGGGGACATGAGGGAGACAGCCCAAGGTCACCCTGCCCAGAGTCTATCAGGCAGCAACCCAGGCTATTTGGCTCAGTCTGGCTGTGTGGTCAGAAGCCTGTGGGCTCAGTAGCTTGCCGGAGAACCAAACCCTGCAACTCCTCCCTCCTCAACCCCAGCTTCTTTGAAGAGCCCAGAGATCCCAACCAAAAGCTAGCCTGAAGTGTGGCAAAATCCTTTTCTTGACAGAGGAATGGTTTGGGTGGGTGGGTGTCAGGCAGCCTTGAAGGTGGAAGGTCCAGGGAATATGGGTTTTATTGGGGGGTGAGGGGAAGAACTTCTGTGATTCTGGCCTTATCCATCTCGGGGGGGGGGGGCATCCCCTAAGCTTTGAGTATCTGCTGGTACCCTTCCTTGAGGAAGGGGAGATTGAGGCATGGGATGGGGACTCAGGGAAGGAGCTCTGAAGGGGAGCCGGACCAGACTTGGGTCCTGTGGGTAACAGCACCATGCTAAGAGCTGTTTGCATGGAGGGACAGTGGAGAATAAGCCCACGAATCTGCCTCCACCACTCTGGGACTAACCCGGCACAGGGAAGACACAGACATCTCAGGAGAAAACGAAGCAGACTGCTAACACTCCAGAAAAGCAAGCGCAAGGACAGCCAGGCCCTACTGGGGCTGGATCTTAGGAAGCAGGCAGGATTCTGGCACAGGAGGGAAGAGAAAGGATCTTTAATGCCAGGCTTGAGGGGTGGGGAAGCTGGGCAGTGGGAACCTAATAGGAGTCCCTGAGCTGCCCCCAAGTGGGGCCATGGCTGGGGTTTAGAACAGAAAGTGGGCAACAAGGCAAGGGAGGGGGGCAGAACCATGCCTAGCCACACACCGGAGCTCAGTTCCCTCCAGCTAGGCACCCAGAAGCCCTGCTTACTAGGGCCCGGTCCCAGGCGCAACCCCTGCAGCTCCAAGGCGCAGAAGTGCGGAGCCCACAACCCCACCCCCTCCCCGCCCTAAGTCTTGCACACAGAGCCGAGATTTCTGGTTCCCAGCTGCATTCGCCCTGCTCCCACCCCCTCCTGTTGCCCTGCCCATTCTTCTGATAAAGAACTGAGCTTGGCTGGGTCTGGTGAACTGAACTCAAAACCGCTCCCATTCCAGGGTCACCCCCAGCCGGGAAGAACCAATCCACCCTAGAGGGAGGTCAGCCTGCTCCCCACCCCTTCCTAGCCCCAGGACCTTAGATTGGGGAGCCGATTCCTTTCTTTATTCTTCCACCTTGAGAAAGCGCCTTGGTCAGGGTGAGGGGCAGCTGGTTAGAGGCTGTGGGCCTGCGCAAGGGGAGCTTAGAGCTTGGGCAGGCTCCTCAGGACTAGGCAGATGTGGGCAAAAGCTGAGGGCGACCTATCCAGGGTCCTCCATCAATGCGCAAAGCCTACTGCTCTCTCCATCTAAGTCCCTCTCCAGCCTGTCCAGGCTCACCCCTCAACACGCGGTTAACAAAGCTTCTTTTGCCGACGCCCGTTAGGGAAATGTGTCCCAGGTCTGCCGGTTTCAGGTTGGGAGGGGGCAGAGGGCCTCTCTTCTCCATTCTCATCCTCCGCCCCAGCTCTCGCCCTCCCCAATCGGTCAGCACCCTCGCCACCTGGAGCGCCTCCAGCTTGCAGAAGGCCCGCTGCAGCCTCCTCCCGTCGGATCGGAGTTCCACTGTGGGGGGCTGTTCAGAGACCCTCTGTCTCCTACCCGTATCCCTGCTGTCCCACTGCCAGAGCGCGCCAACCCCGGGCCCTCCTCTCCCACCCCATTTCCCGCGGAGCCCCGGGCGAGCCCAGGGAGCAGACGCAACAGATTGCAGAACGCGAGAGCGCGGAGCCCGCTCCTTCCGCGCGCCGCCCGCCGCCCCGGCCTGCGCCCGTGGCCCAGACCCCCGCCCTCCGGGCTCGGCTAAGCCGGCCATTTAGATGCAGCTCACAGGACGACGGGCGGCGAGCGGCGAGCCGCCGCGGCTCCCCGCGCCCCTGTCAGTCCACTTCCCTTCCCGAGGACCGCGCAGGAAGCGAGGCGGCGGGCGGCGCGGCCCCGTACCGGCCTGCGCACCAGGCGCGGAGAAGACAAGATCCCCGCGGACCCAAACGGCCCCCAGTCCCGCCGGCTGCGGGAGTGGGAGTGCAAGGAGGGGCGGCCCGGTCGCGATCTAGCGGATCGCTTGGATCCCCGCAGATTTCCGTGGGCGGACACGCCCCCAGACTCTTGGGTTTGGACCCTTCTTCCTAACCGGCAAAACACTGGAGTGTGCCCCCCCCCCCCCGCCCTTTTCCGGGGCCGGGCTCGGTCCCCAGGGCGGGGCTCGCAGCCTCCGCTCCCGCCAAAGGGCTGGGGAAGCTGGAGGTAACTCGAGCTGCAGCCCGAGATGCCAGGCTGGGAGCAGCGGCTGCGAGTCCGGGGTGGGGGCCCGCCTTTCTCTAGTCTCCCCTGTGCCCCCTCCAGAGGCGCCCGCCGCATCTCCACTTCCGAGTCCGCGCCGCGACACTTACCGTGGGCGAGCAGCGCCGAGAGGCAGAGCAGGGCGGCGCCGCCGCGGCCCGACATCCTTGGGGCCATGGCCGAGGCGGGAGCGGGAAGGGGCCGAAGGGGCAATAGTCGTCGATGACTTGGCCCCAGGCTGGGTTCGGTCACATCCAACTCAGGGTGGTCGTGGCGTCCGAATGTCTCTGCCGTAGCTCTGGGGACCAGGGAGTGCAATTCGGGGACACTTTGAGGGGAGGGGGCGTCCCAGGCGCCGCCGGCTACACCCTCGGAGCTGGTAGGGGCGCAGCTCCGGGCGGGAGGAGCCTCCACCTCCCGGGGCTGGTGCCCCCTGCAGGATCTGTGCGGCGAGGGGGGAGCCGCACGTGCAGTCCCGGAGCCCAGTGGCCACCGGCGTCTTGGAGACTGCCTAGAGCCAAGTGCTGGATCCCCCAGTCCCGAGGCCCAGCTCCAATCTGAACTCGCCCGAGGGTGCAGATTTCCGGCGCAAGCCCCAGTTTCTTCGGTGTCGGTAGTAACCCCACATAGATAGCGCGGCTTCCTTCCTCCAAGCGCCCTGCAGCAGCCCCAGCATAAAAATCCCAGGTTAGGAGCAAATGAATGCTTTCTTTCGCAAAGAAAGAGAAAATCCAGGCAACTTTAATCCATCTGGAGCAGGAAAAGTTTCCGTGCAGTGATGAGACTGGCGACGCGGGTCGCTGCCACCCCAGGCGACGCCGGGACAAAATGCCCGAGGCGGGCGGCCCGCGGCTCGTCCCCTCACAGAGCTCGCTGCACGGCTCCAGCGCGCTCTCCAGTCTCGACCAGGGCCCGGGCTCCACGCAAGCTGGCTCAGCGCCGCCAGCTCGGGCAGCGGCTCCGCGGCTGGGGCGCAGGTGGTGCGGCCGGAACCGGCTGCCCCATGGATACCCGGCCTGGAGAAGCGGGGGAGCTGGACAGCCGGCTAATGCGCCGGACCCGCGCCCTCCCTGCCCGGGGCGCCGACTCCAGCCTCCCGGCTGTCAGCCGTAGTAGGATGGCAAGGGGCTCGGCCAGCCCGCGGCGGCTCCGGGCCGTCCCCCTCTCCTCCCAGGTCTCGCTGTCTCAGCAGAGGGGCGCGCAGCTCCACCTCGTTCCTCGCCTTCCCCGGGGGGAACCTGCACAAACCTTGAACTTTTGCGGGATTCAGAGTCTCCGACGTCTCCGTCTCCCTGCCGCCCCCGCCCTGCCCCCGGACGCCCGCTCGCCCGCTGTCTTGGTGCAGCTGGGCATCGGTTTCCTCTCTCTCGGAGTCAGTTTGGGCGAGCGGAGCGCCGCACCAGCCCGGGCTGCGGGCGGCGAGACCCGGGCGCCACGCCAGGGGCCGGGGCACCGGGCGCCCGCGCAGCCCGCGGCCAGGGAGGCGGCAGCTGGTGCCTAGGGGGCCGAGCCGAGAGGAGGTGCCGGCAGGGGGGCCGGCTCCCCATGGACGTGTGTGGGGGGCGAAGAATCAAGGAGCAAAAAGCGAGAGGAGGTGGAGGGAGCCACAGTTGCACGAAGCCGCCGCCGCTGCCTCCTCGGCGCTCGCGCCGGCTGCTCCGCCGTAAATGACTCGAGAGAGACACACACACTCGCGCCCGCCCGCCCTCCTCCCCCGTCCGGGATTCAGCGCCCACCCCAGCAGTAGCGGGCGCCGAGCCCGGCGCGCTCGCTCCCTTCCCCTCCCCTCCCCTCCCAGATTCCCCGTGGTCACGTGGGCCCAGAGCGCGCGGCCCACGACTCGCGCGCTTCGGAGACCCCCCCTCCCACGCCATCACCCCCTCCCTGGTCCACGTGTCTATTCCGCATTCCCAGCCTGGGGGCGCGCGCGGCTCCTTAATGAGACTCGGGCCGCGGCAGACCTCGCGATTCTGTTCGCCTCTCTTTTATGTTTTATTTTTCTTCCCCATTGTAGGCTAGCGCTGGCGCCCGAGTAGGGCCGGCCGGCTGCGGTGGCTGCATTTCCCCCGGGGTAGACGCCACCGCAGCCACCGATGTCCCTTTTCAAAGGAAGCACGCTCCTTGCCAGGCGCCGGCGGTGCTTTACAGCCGCTCTGCCAGAGGCGCGGGTAGGGGGCACCCTACCCCCACCCCCAGAGGCTCTCTGGGGGTACTGGCTGGGAATCCACTGAGCTGTCGCGTCCAGCCCTTCCGCCGCGCGGGAGCTCGCCGGCTCGGCTTCTTTGGGGATGGATCCGGGGCGCAGCTGGAGAAAAACCCGTTGCTGGGGGTGGGGGGCGGAGAGGGAGGGACGCGCCTTCCTACAGGTTGTTTTGCAAGCCTTTAAAGGGATATGGCGGGGGCGGGGGTACTGCCCCTCCTGCACACTCACCCAGGCGCCTGCTGACGAGGGGGAGGGGTGGCTGGGGTGGCGTTCTTTCCCACCGTCAGGCCGGTTCCATTAGAGCGCAACCCAGATCAGACCCGACAAGTCAACCGTCAACCGTCAGCCAGGCGTTCGATCAATGGCAATGATTTTATAGCATCCTTGGGTATCGTGCCCCAAACCCCAGGGGCCGCATCTCAATCCCACTCAACTCCGGACGGACAGGGTCTTCAATCCTATAGACATCGCTCTTATGGGAGAAGGGGGCGGTGGCCATGGATCTTGAGGGTCACTCTCTTAACCAGTCTGAGAGTGTGGGGTGAGGTAGGTCGGAGCAAGGCCAGCTGGGGTGCTCTTTCTCTGCCCACCCCACCCCCCCCCCCCTTGTACCTGACTCTGCCCCAGACTTATTGGCCCTGTGAGTTTCCTTTTCATCCAGGAAAGTGACATTTTCTTTTTGGAAAATAGGCTTGGACCGTTCCTGGAAGCCTCCCTCCTCCCTGGCTGCTGGCTGTTGCTGCCTCAGCTTAGAACTGGGGCCTGTGGAGAACCGCTCGCGCCCCTCCCCCACCCCCCACATCTGTCTGGAGCTCTGAGGTGCAGCTAAGGAGGGCTGGCGGGGCTCTGGGAGGCCCTCGGGATGGAAGGTGCTGGTCGTCAAGGAAGATGATTCTCATTAAGCCCCTAATGCCTGATAGCAATTAATGTCACCCAAGGGCTTATTAACCATCCCACTGAGAGGCAAGCCGGCAATCAGGCTCTATGTGTGGGAGAAAGGGGGGAAAGAAGCCACTTTCTCAGATAGGAGGGCTCCAGGAAAAAAAGGAAGAAAGCAGGGCGATCTTCCATCCCTTTCCACAAGCTGGAAGGGGCACCGGGCCTGTAAAGAGTAAGTCTTAGGGAGAGACACAGATTGCTTTTCTGAGCTGAGGACCCACGGCCCCCAGTGATGGGGTCCAAGCTTGTCCTCAACAGGTGCTTGCGGCTGACATGAGTCAGCTGTTTTAGCCCATTCTCCTGGCCTTCTCTGGAAACTGAGCACAGAGTTCTAGTTCTTCTCTCTAACTGCCACCCCACCCACCCAGATATTAGGAGAGGGAAGATAACCCTCCCTTCTCCACCCCCATCTGCCCCTCTCCTTTCACCACACTTTGGTGAACTTCATGATCCATCACAGGACCATGGGCCCTGCTCACAACAGAGAGCAAGGTAGACCTAGCCGGGCCTCATGCAACTTACATTCTAGAGGACAAGACAGACATTAAGCTTACGACTGATCACCTCTGTGATAAGTTATAGGTCAGCATGCATTTTTCTCCTCTTATGATGGAGACTGAGGCCCAGGGTCAGGAAGGTGGGGGCGGCCTGCTATGTCATTTCAGACCCAGGTTCTTCTGGTACCCTCTCTGTGGATCTACACTTCATGGTCCGGGAGCCTCCTGCCAGGCAGTGGGTCTAATTACCCTCTGTTGCTCCAAATGGCAATGCGTCCTCCCTGCCCTAGGGAAGCAAAGAGCTGTGGACAGCCCACCTGGGGAGTAAAATGCCCCAAATACTCCAACCCCAGTACCCCCATGGGCCTGTTACTCTTGGCAATGCCAGTTCTAGGACTCAGAGAGAAAGCGGTCGGCAATGAGGTTAACACAGCCAGCTGTCCCCAACTATTCCAATCCCATGTGTCGTTTACCTGGAAAGGAGGCTCATACCTTCCTTCAGGTCTTTTCTACCATCCCTGCAGACTGCTGTGGCCTCACCTGTGAGCCCCGTGGAGCCCAACTGGAACCCAGGTAGGAGGTCAGAGGAGCAAACCCAGGGGGACCCCAGGCTGGAGAAAGGGCCTGGCATCTGTGTGCTCTTCTGCCCCAAACCTTTTTCATCCAGGTGGTGACATCTCCTTTCTGCTGTTCCCATTTTGTTTGGGGCCAAGTATCTTTCCAGCCAGAGGACTGGCAATGGTTGGGCGTTTCCTAGATCCCCAGCTCTTGGTTGGTGCTTGTAACAGCCCCACTCTCCTGCCAGGCGGCCAGAGAGCAAGCTGGGCCCTGTGTCAGGCCCCTGTGCCCTGCATGGGTGTCTCTGAAGGACTGAGGCTGAACCTGGCACCCACTTCCCCTGCTGCTAGGCCCGTCACCATGGGCCTGTGTTTCAGGATGCCTGCCAACAGGGGAGGATAGGACAGGCCAACGTGGGACATCACCAAGAGGAACTCACCATTTGTGGGGAGTTCCTGGGATTCCCCTAGAATCCTAGTCTGGCCCTGCTGACAAGGGGCTTGGTGATATCCTAAGCTAAGCCTCTCATTTTCCAGCTGCAAAAACAGAGGTCCTTCCATTCATTCATTTTCTTAAATTAATTCATTAATTGTCATTTTATTAATTACCTTGACATTTTTTTGTTGAGCTCTAATTCTGTGTGAAGCACTGTGCTAGGTCTGGGAACACAGGGGTTGGATGAGAGAGACAAGAGCAGACGGAGAGGTTCAAGAGCTTAGTTCTACAGACCCGTATTGAGTGGCTGGTCACATTAATAGCTACCATTTACTGAGCGTTTTTGCCATGCCAGGCATTGTGCTGGGCATTTTGCAGGCATTATCTGCGTGCTCCCCACAACCTCGTTCAGTAGACACTGTTCATATTACTATTTTCCAGAGAAAGACCCTGAGTGAGGCCAGATAAGTTAAGTGTCTTGCCTAGGCTCACACAGCTAGAAACCCGAGTAACCTGCGTAACCACTTTAACTGGTGAGTTGTAAG